TTATTTTTTTWWYMAATGCAGCTAAGCTTYTRTAYTTTCTTYCACTAGGTGAGAATATTTCCCCAGGGGGTAGTGCACTGGATTTGTCTGAGTTTCCTGCATTAGCYAATCGAATGCTTGATAGTGGAGGCAGTGGTTCAGCTCCTAGTAGACCTTCATATGGAGTAGTATCAAAACCTGCAGAACCCCAACCTGATTTTTCAATTTTAAACGAGGATTTCCCTGCACTACCTGGCTCAGGATTCACTAAACAAGGTAYTTTGAATACAGGTGGAAACTAGCAGTAAACTAGATATGAACTATGTCAGTATACACAGTTCTGCAAAAAGATAAATTGTAACACCTACTTTTTAACAGTGTCAAAGTTTATCTTTTTACACCATTGTTACTTTGAAAACATATCCTTATTTCTTTTGCAAGAAAAATATTAAAACCATACATATCTTCATGTATCTTCCTGTGGCYCAATTGCTAGTGCGCTGCCATGCAAAATGTCATKGYATGCAACTAGTRAATTTGTYTACTTATTTCTGCTTTGAATTCTGTTCTTTTAGGTGATAATAGTGATGGTTCATCTCAGCAAGAAACAAGCAAATCACTCATCAACTCTTTGGTAAGTTGCGTTACTGTCTTGATGACTTTAAAGCTGTTATTGGACAATCCTCACCCATCTACACTGTATTTCTGACATGCATACACATTATTCCAAAATGGCTGACTAGCCTTGATGTCTCGTTTTCATAAAATTATTCTTTTGTCTTTGAGCTTTAGTGACTTTAAAAGAAAAAAACAATTTCATGAAAATGAGACATCAAGGGCTAGTCACCCATTTTGGAATAACGTGTATATTCCTTGTATTACCAGTGTAGACATTTGAGTGTAATATTCTTCTAAGACTTTCTTTTCTGTCAGGGAACAAGCACAACATCAAGTATTTTCCCTGTTACTGGTGAGTAACATATTACCAGGAAAAGAAATSATAGCAATATAACTTTCTATTGATTATAACATACAGTTTGCATAATATAGACTGCTTTCACAATAACCACAAGAAAGTTTGATACCATTTTATAAGTATATTATTATTACATGTATGGTAATCTATTTAAATGTTGTGTCCATATACTGCATCATCAGTGTTGTCATAAATTTTAAATATTTTTAGATGCCAACAGAACAAACACATCTTATGAACAAGCATTGAAAGACTCAGCAAGGGACATCAAGTATGTAGTGATTCATGTTGTTTTCTTCCTTCGTTCTCTCCATTTTCCCTTCTTTTCTCTTTACACATATGCAAAATCCATTGTACACTATCCCTTCCTCACCGTCCTTCTCTTCCTTCTTTCCTTCTCTCCTTTCTTCAACTTCACTCCCTTCTTTCCCAGTTTCAATCTCTCCCTCTTTCCTCTCCCTCCCCTTCTTTCTTTCATTCTTTCAAGTCTGTTTTGTACTTTCTGTTTCTTACCTTGCTTAGTTTAGTATTAATAAAAAATGATTGTGATTGTGTAGACTTGACCCAAAGCTCACTGGACAACAATCTAACAAATCACAGAGAGGAATYCAGACATCACCATCAGGTCTTTATATAAAACGTATAAAATTCTCTCACTTTCAAATGAAATACTTATACAAGACTTTATTTTTTTCAGGGATGATCACTAATATACCTAAAGGAATGGTTACTGACCAGTTTGGTATGATAGGACTATTAACCTTCATAAGAGCAGCTGAAACTGAACCAAATCTAGTAACCCTTGCTTTAGGAAGGTAAGACGATAACTTCATGTGTTTAAGGGTGCTTTCCATTTAGGCAGAAGTGGCCAGCCAGTCCACTCTGTTTATAGGTATATAATGGCAGCTTTTTGTCAACATTTTTCAGTCATTTCGAGGTTTTCTGTAGAATAATGGATAGAATTTGAAAATTTGAATTTCCTAACTAAATGGGAATGATATATAATGACATTTTCTCTGGGTCTGGCCAGCCAGCTCTGACAAATGGAAAGCGCACTTAGTTAGGGCTAATTGTGATAGATAATTTGGCGCCATTAATTACAACTACCAGAGAATGCTTTGCCTACTTTCTGTTGTAATTACAGGTGTTGTTGTAGTTGTACTTATTTTTATCATTATCATTATGCAGTGATTTAACAACTCTGGGACTCAACCTSAACTCCCCTGAGTAAGTACCAAACATTTGGAAAAAAATAACCATTGTAATCATTAGTTTTAAACATTATTATATTTATCTTTTTAACAGAAGCTTGTATCATACATTTGGATCACCRTTTGCAGACAGTCCATGTCGACCACATGAAATAGGTTTGCTCTTGCCTAAGAATATTAAGTTGTTCAAAGAAACTTGTAAAKTTGTATTCTGTTGCCTGGTCAGAGCAAAGAAGTCAACTTTTTTCTCTTTTTTTCAAACTCAGATTACCATGTACCACCTGATTACCGGATAAACTCTTACATCAAAGAAAAGGTGAGGAAAAGCCMTTGTATTTCACTTTCCCAACGCTATATGTTGAAGAAAGTTGTGCAGTTTGTGTACATGCATGTAATACGTGCATAATTGTGTGTTTCTTTTTCTGCAAATTCTAGAGTTTTGTAAGTTCAGAAAGTTGTCTACACTCCTGATTTGCAAGTTTTTCTCTGACACTCAAACTTGACCTCTTTCTTGTGTTTGATTTGAAATGTTACAAAAGGCACAAAAACGTTTTCTTAGCTGTCTGTTGGTTTTCTGAATTGAAATCTTTATCAATTCTTCATATGATGTTTTCCTTTAGCTTGCACCAATAAAGCTGAGCCGCTACAGYGAAGACTTGTTATTCCATTTATATTACACCAATGGGGGAGATATTCTACAGTTAGCTGCAGCTGCTGAACTGTAAGTATTGCTAATGACTGACGGTGACTGTGTCTTTGGACTCTTTTGTTGACTTGGTCTTAGATGTGATAGATACAATGATGATATTAAGGAGTATTTGACTTTTTTGGTCAAATATACATGGCTCAAACAAGAATCGGAGTGAATACATGTACTTCCACTCATAGAGGTGCTCTTGAAGCCATGAATGCCCATCCAGAAAAAATCTGAAGATGGGGCTCGAGAGTGAGGAAACAAATATTATCTGTTGTTGTTGTTTTTTTGTTTTTTTTTTGGATCCTCATCTCCACAAGGGGGTGTTTAGTTAATTGAAAGGAAAGCTGTTGACATTATTATGTCATATATGTCACAATGTCTTGTATCAAAGTTTTAATTTATAGTTGCCAAAATTAGTGTGATCTACGWTATATTTGGGGTAAACACATGTGATTTTAATCTTGTAATTTATATATCATAGATATGCACGAGAYTGGCGATATCACAAAGATGAACGGGCGTGGTTAACMCGTGCTCCAGGGGTAGAGCCCCAGATCAAGTCCACAAATTATGAAAGAGGAACATATTATTTCTTTGATTGTAACACATGGAAGAAAGTTCCCAGGGAATTTCATCTGGAATATGATAAACTAGAAGAAAAGCCTACRTTACAACCTATTGCTGCCCAGTAGAGATTGAAGTATTGTTGATCCATGTACAGATACCCTGTGTATAAAGAAATCTTTGTTAGCTACAGCAATAAAACATGTTTTACTAATAACAGTTTGTTATTTAGCTCTATAATGGGAGGGGTGGGTGGTGTTCAGAGAATGACATTATGAACATAATATATTTGGGTTAATTTTGGTCCATTATGATCACTTGGCATTCAGCGCAGTCATGGTTTAGATTTTTCAGGATTTTTATTATTACAAAAAAATAATTTCTGCATTTATTTTTCTCTCCACTTCCCTTTCATATTTGGGGTCCCTGTGTACTATGTATTTGGGGTGTACTGGTTCAGTTGGAACCAGTCTCCCAGTGGTGCTCACGGTGAATGTCATCGGCTTCCCGAGCGACTGTCAAAGTTATGCAAAGTTTTGACTTCTACGGTTTCGCACTCTTTCCACTTGGGTTAATGAGCTGCAGGATGCCAAGAATCTCTTAGAACGTGGTAGCTATGAAACAGTCAATACATCGGCTATCAGAAAACTCTTGGTCACTAGAAGGTAGGGATCTGTGTAGCTTGAAAAGGGTAGCTAGACGAAAACCGAAGCAATTTGGCGCTTTGCATTGCAAATTCTTGCTATCACTTCGGGATTTTGGCTCATTTGTGAGGATTTTTCCTTAGTTACGGAACACAAAATGTGTAAACTATTGAAACAAACTCTCTTAGAGCAATCATTTTAATTCTGAAGTAGTATATTTTTGGTTAAGTTCGCTTGATGACACTTCCCTCGTGTTACTCGGTTGTGGTGGTTTMGCTTGTCGCCAAGGGATTTTCAATGGCCTTGTGTTTTGTTTTAGTGACATGACACCTCTGTTCTTTATGATACTTGCCTCGCTTAATCAAATAAACTCGACAGAGAAGTCAAAAATATTGTTTAAAGTCGATGGTATTTGGAATTTCGCCGCTATTTTTCTTGCACATCATGCAGAGTTTATAGTCGCGTTATTGCCTTTTGGATTTTATTATCTGTAGGGTGCCTTCTGAACTTTGGAAGCGTACTGATGTTATAAGTATTCATCATTACAGTAATGCYATGTATTTAATTTTGATCAGATTGAGAAACTTAAAAGTTCATAAAAATAAGTCGAGTTGCCTTTTGTTTTCGAGCTTATGAGCTAACCCACGAACAATAAGTTAAAGTTTGTTGTGCATTTTCAATTTGTTTGATTTCATACATAATTCCGATCTAAGATATTTTGATAAAAATCTTTATTTCCAGGTCTGGTTTTAAAGCTCAAGATGAAAATTTAAAGGTTTATTTTTAGTTTTCGATTGTTGGGGATAATTATGTCCCAATACACGAACCGCAAGGAGGCTCCCAATGCTGCACGCTCAGCAATCAAGCACACGAGAATAGAAGACAAACAAATWGAGGAAATATACGAATATGGCGAAGTGCTGGGAAAAGGAAGTTTTGGGGTTGTTAAAGAGGCCAAACATATCGAATCTGGTACAAGATGGGCTATTAAAGCRATAAACAAAGAAAAGGTAAAAACAGATTTCTCTAGTACGTATCTACTATGTTATGGTTGGGAAATGGAATATCCTTTTGACCTTTCCTGTTTTTAAGAGACCATTTCAAATATTTATTTTTCTCGGTCCGTTATAAAGAAAGCAAAGCCTTTAAGATGAATATTTTAAGTTGATGTTTGTATTCACTAAAGGAACTAAGCTTACATGTATATTGTATTTAAGTTTTGAGTTAAAAAAATGTACTTTTTTTGTTGCTAATCACTTCTAAGATTATTGAAAGTGTGTGTAAACAAAAAGATATTCAGATTTTTTTCTTAAYCATCCAACATTTTATATCCCATGCATTTTGTGAAGCTAGTAATCTGTCATACATGACAGTAAATTATTGAATTCTCATCTCATCTGTTGTGCTTTCATTATAAGGATGTCTAAGTGTGTTAAAAGTGTTGATGATATGTCATTTTTTTGTAATGAATGAATTTTTTAAGATCTTATTGTCTCAGYGTGCTAATCATCTTTGACCACAGTGTTTAATATGAGGATAATTTAATAGACTCCTTTGAATACTGCTGTTTGGGGCTCATTAACAGAACTAGATTAAAGTAGGCAGTTAAGAGCATTCACACATCTGCAATAGCTTCATCAGTTGCAATTTTATTAAACTGTCTACACAAAGATAAAGCTGCAAATTGCATTTGAGCAAAAATATTTCATATGCTTCAAMTTGATGTCTCAACTTACAATGTCTTGTAAGTTGGACAACCCTTTTTCAGATCAACTTTATCATGAATAATTGTCATAGTCTAGCATACGTTTGAACCAATCATATAATATTCTGACTACAATATGATAACTTGAGGCTGTTGAAGTTTGTTGCTTGTTTAAAAGTAGAACAGTTCTTGCTGTTCAAACAGTTCCCTCAGTTCACTAAGGAAGTCAATTTTATCTGGAATTTCCAAGCCCAATGTAAACATATTCAGCAGTGTGCCCTTCCTCAACAAATTTATATTTTTTTAATAGGCTGGTAGCTCTGCTGTCAAGTTGCTTGAAAGAGAGGTTTTGATAATGAAAAGAATCGAGCATGACCATCTTATTCATTTAGAAGCAGTTTATGAAACATCTAAGGTACAGAAAAAAATCATTTTCAATGGACAGTACATGTAGCTTTATTATGCCATGTTTCATTTTTGTTTTCCTTTTTTATTTTTTTCAGAAAATGTATCTAGTGATGGAGCTATGCGATGCAGGAGGATTAGAAAAATTATTGGAAAGAAAGAAAATATTATCAGAAAAAGTGAGTAATGGTTGATTTTACTACATTGTAGCAATGATTTTGTCACTCTATATGATGGTCCTTATMCTTCATAAACCTGTGTAGTACACTGGGGTATGACACTCACTTTAGGGAGTGGCCATTATTTAGGGCTGGATGATTACTTTGCTACGTTAAGGACCTTATATCATTTAACCCATCCCATAACAGGAAGTAGGTTTTAAAGACCCCTCCTTCATTTGTTGTCAAAACATTAAAACAATTATTATTATTTTATGCTTTTCTCTGACTATTACACTTTGTGTTTTTTTTTAAATACATTGTATTTGGTATCAAGCTCTTCTTAAGCTCTCAAATGTTTACTGCATAGAAAATTCCACAATTTACCCATGATTGCTGTAGATGATTAAACTTTAATGGTATTTTATAGGAAACATGGACAGTTATAAAGCAACTCGCTAGTGCTGTAGCATATTTGCATGATTTAGGTAGGGTTGTCATTGCTAAAAGAGTAAATATTAGTACCGGCAACTGTACTTTCTACAGTTGGCTGGTACGAAGAAATTGTTTAAAATTCAACACGCAAAGCATAAATGTAAAGGAAAACAAGGACCTGTCTAACTACCATTCTACATGTACCAATAAAAGAAGACATGATATCCTTACCCATTTTGAACAGCAGAGAAAAATTGTTGACTATTTTCTGWGACCCAAAGSTGATGCAGACACACACACAAGCCATTGTATTAAGATATAGTAAATGTACCAAATGGTCAATRTTGGAAACAATGGACTGTCAATCAAGTATAATTATAATTATTATAATTACTTTTTCTTATAATTTCAGATATTGTCCATAGAGATTTGAARCTGGAGAACATTCTATTGAGTCATCCAGTAGGCAATGAATTACTTAACATAAAGGTACACAAACTAGAAAATTAATGATATTATAATATTAAATTTGTGTCAAATACATGTATATCAGTAAAAAGATTGCAAACTCAGTCGATACATAGATGCTGATCCTTTATCTTTCAGACTTTTCAAACCAGCTAGTAAGCATCCAAACTTTAATCTTCTGCAGTGTATAACATACAATGTACTCTCTGGCATTTTGAGCATTGGTCCTTGCTCTAATACACTGTACTTTACTCTGGCAAATGCATGTCTGAACATCTTGAATTATAGTTAAACATCCTTTCAAATTATGTGAGAAATACATGTCATGAGACACACATAGTTTGTGGTTAGAATTTTTCTTCTCACATTGCATTGAAATAGTCTACTACTGTAAGTTCGTATTTGCTGGGTTAAAGAACAAAGGAAAACAATAGAGTCTCTTTCAAGTTCATGAAAACAACTTTAAGCATTGTGTTATACTTAGTTTTTTATTCTTTAGATTACAGACTTTGGGCTATCCATTGTCAAGGGAGGGGTTGGGAGTGATTCAATGATGCAAAGTGTGTGTGGAACCCCTATATATATGGGTAAGTGCCTTCCAATAATCATATTGTAATAATGAATATTTCACTTGTTATTAGATATTTTACTACATTGAGTCGTTACTATCCCCTTTTGTATATTGCAGCTCCAGAAGTAATAGATGACCTAGGATATAGTCAACAGTGTGATATATGGAGTATAGGTGTTATAATGTATATCCTGTAAGTACAGCTGCTATTTTGTAGTGTGTTAACCAACGTTTTGCTCATTTATAGACCCAGATTCAGCTCCAATGTGTATTTTTTATATTTTGAACCATATTATTTCAATTCTGGGATTTAAGTTATTTTTTTTTTACATAAAGAAAATATATGTGATCTGAATGAAGTAAGTACAGATGCTTTCGATAAATGAGTGTACAGTCTGGTCAACTCTCGCTATTACGGACACCCTCAGGACCGTACTTTAGTGTCTGCAGTAGTGAGAGTCCATAGTAATGAGAGTTACTTTCAGTTATTTCTTTGTATTTTTCTTTCTGCAATATCGGGGTGTCCGTTGTAGCGGGGTATCCGTAAGGCAAGACTTGACTGTATAAAAACCAAATGATATGCAACGATCATTTTTTTTTTGTTTTTTTTTACGATCATATGATTGTATTTGTGGTAAAGTGGCAAACTTTTTTTTTATTAAGACAAGAAGAATGTTTTGTTTGGTGTTGAAGTCCTAGTACCCCATATCTGTTTTCCAAGTGTTTGAAATATTATGATTTTCTGTGCTTTTTAGTTTAACTGGGCAGCCTCCATTCATGGCAGAAACAGAAGAAAAGCTCTATGAATCAATAAAGAAAGGAATGGTTGACTTCTCACATGAATGCTGGGACATCTGTCAAGAATCAGGTAGA